CCGCCCCCCCCCCCCCGCCCGCCCCGCCCGCCGTGTCAGCTCGGGGCTCGTTTCGACCCCGCGCCAGCCCTGGACGCAGCGCGGGGGCCAGGGATGCTCGCAGGGGCGATGGGCTCAGGTTTCCTGCTCCTCTGCCTCTGCTCTCCGGAAGCGGGGCCTCTCCACCCCCCCCACAGCAGGCGGCTCCCGCGAGTCTCCTGCAACCGCAGCAGCTGGGGGGCCAGGCAGCAAAAGCCGCCTTTACGCCCCGGTTTGAAGAAACCCAACCTTACTGCCTAGCCACAGCGGCTGAGGTTATTTTTCCTGGATGCACGCACAAGAACTGTGCAAAGTAAAGCTTGCCAGGAGAAAACACACCTTTTATTAAACCATAGTCTCGAGCTATCCTAGCTCACTGCCGGAGCATTAGGAAGGTGTTATTTGCATCTCTGCAGACAGGCTGAGCTGAGCTTTGTTTTGCTACTCCCATAAGCACCGTCTTCACCACGCACACATCCACTTAACACCTATATATTTTTTAAAACCTGGAAAGTTTCTTTTTTTTCTTAAACAGTTTTCCACTTCAATAATTTAAAAAAAAAATCAATATTAAGCACAGCAGTTCAGTTTGAGACTTGTCCCCAGCGCAAGTCAGCAGAGTGGGCATCTGCCGCTCAGCTCCTCCACGCTGCCTTAAATCAGATCAAGGTTTGGGAGCGTCCTGAGTGCCAATCCTTTGCATTTACGGACGAAGAAGGAACGAGGAGGTTTTGCATAATGACGGTTTAATCACAAGAACTGAGTAACCAGCCCTCACCATCCTGCTTCCCCTCCGCATGCCACTGCGCAAGGAGGGGGAAGATTTTTCTCCTCTTAATCACCCGCATTGTCACCCTGGCATTTCCCCAACTCGCTGAATGCTCCATTGTGCAACCGGTCTCGGCGGCCACGTCTAAAACCCCAAATCCTAGAAACGGCATAAAGTTGGAGCACAAATCCTGCATCTTTGGACAAGAGAACTGAAGAACTTTTTTGGTTGGAAAGCTGTGAGGCCGGTTATTTCTGGGTCACTCAATCCACTTGCTAAGGAAGACGAATGTAACGCGAGCAAGAGGTCCCGCGTTAAACGTCCGAGAAGAAAACGGGGGAATAAAGCGTCTCTAGGATTTGCACGCCTGTAAATAAACGGAAGGGCTGAGGCACTCAGTAAAATCTCAAAAGTACCAAATAACGAAATTCCCAAATCTGTCGCACTCACGTCAGCGTGAGCGGGAACGCTCGCCCTGCCAAGTGGAGACCTTGGGACAAGGCACGTTAACGCCGAGCAAAGCAACAGCAAAACACATCCAAAGTCCTCTACGCTAGGGAAACCTCAGTTTTGTTTCATTTTGTGTTTTGATGACCTGCAGAAGCGATCGCAAGCCCGCAATCCTCCTCACCCCGCGCGCAGGCCCAGGGAAAACAACGGAAACCCAGGGCAGGTACTGGAAAACTTCCTGTTACGAGAAGCGCGTATAAACCAACAGAAATCCCATATTCAGAGGCTGCTTAAAATATTACTGCTTCACTTTCAAAGTTTCTTCTCTAATTAAAAAGCATTTCACATAAAATTGTTCCAAAACGTACAGCCTCGGACATTTTTAACTCCCATATGAGAAACAGTTTCTTATTAGGAAATAACTACTGTGGTGTGACCATTGCTGGTCCTCATCAGACAGCTTTCCCTCTATTTACAGGTGAAGTTTACTGATGTATTTTGCTTTTAATGCTTCATTTCATTCCTTTGAACTGCTCTTCCTCTCCTGCACATAGTAGGCTATATATACACACTTAAAAACACTAGGTCCAGCTCTTTCCCAATATTAGGAGGTTGGCAAGTGTTGTATATTTATTATTATCCAGGAAAGGCTACACTTACTTCCTAACTATACCCAGCAGTAAATACTAACTACATATCTCTAAACACTAGCTATTTCCAAATATCAACGAGGATACAGATTTCATAGTGCTAAATTAGCAAACGGCGAGTTTCTCGACGAACTGAAGTTATTACAATTTTCCCCAAATTCATACTTTTCCCAAAAGTGGGAAAAGTGATTTGCTCCCACGCCTGCAAGATACCCCGAGCACGAACATCTCTTCTTTCAGCCCCTTGCTATAACACCATCACGTTCCCCCGCCACCCCAGCAGTGGAAAAAAAGCATCGTCAGAACGTGCGTTTCCCGTGCAAAAAACAGACACGGCAGGAAAGAAAGGCAGACCTTAAATTCTGAATTGCTGTGTAAAAAAAGACATTAAACTCCCAGGGACTTCATCCGACGCACGGCGGGTGTTCACAAGCGACTAGTCTGTTCCTGACTTATTCCTCTTCATCCAGAGAGGCTGCGCGGAGGCACAAGGGACCCCTTCCCGCAGGCACGGTCGCGCCGCCTCTCCCAAGCTGCTGCTTCAGGGAGACCCCTTTAGTTTTTCAACGCGTTCTGCAACCTGAAGGCATGAAGAAGCAGCCTTCAATTTAAGACCGCTTCTTTCAGTGATCATTAAATTCACCGTTTATGCAAGAGTGCCTATAAAAAGTGACAGTGCTATTGCATTTCACTTTCAAATAAAAAATAGGGAAGACTAGGAAAAAAAACACCTTTTTTTTTTAAATGCAGAATCGCTACCAATTCAGTCCTGAGCTAGCAAAGCACAAACTTTAAGCACATCAATAGCTCCACCAACTCCAATTCCTCTCACTTAAGTGCCAATTTAAACAAAAACCACCAGCACCCAAAGCTCCCTGAAAGCGGCCGGAAAAAATTCATGAGGTTTCTTGTCATTACAGAAGCTGCTGATTTGGGTTTTCAGCCCCCGGGGTGCAGTCACTTCACATTTTCAAGCTCTTCTAGGCCTTGCGGCCGCAAAGTAGCCAAGGCGGATGCCGCGAGCTCTCCGAATGAAAACCGAGCCTCGCACCGAAACCTGCCCCCGGCGCTTAGAGCTTTCGGTTTTATTAAAGGAATCAAGCAACGAATGCAAGGCTCGCGATCGCAGAAGGACAAGGGGAGCCTTAGCAAGGCGGAGGGGGATTGCCGGGGGGGCCGGTCCGCATCGAACGCGCGCCGAACCCCAAGGCACAAACCCTACCTTGCAGCACTCTGCAGGAGGCTGAGCCATGCGTGTGACCAGGAGATAAAATTATATGCAGAAAACAGCATTTGTTTGCATTGCAGCACTGCACCTTATACTCCCTATAAGAGCATCTAGGAGGACCTGCAGGATACACCTCTTGCATATGTATCTCTTCCCTAATGATAGGAAGGGTAAGGTAGGTAGGTGCAGGCAGGGGTGCAGTGAAGTGGGTTTCTCCAGGGGCAAGGAGGGACTTTGTCACCAGGGAGTGTTTATCGAAACTGGCCTTCTCGGACACCTTCCCTTGGAGCACCCGCGCAAGGGGACCCTGACCTGTGTGCCACACGTCAGCTGTCCCTGCAGACCGCTGTGCCGCCCCGGCAGCTCTTTATTGTTTGTTGTTTGTTTTTCTTTAAAAGACAAGTTAAATACAAGAAAAGCCTCCCGTATTCAGGTAGCATTGGAAATGCTTCGTTACACGTCCTAAGCGGACTCTTGAAGA